GACTATCCTTCTCTTGCCCAGGTTATCTGTGTCTCTTTAACAGCCAATCCATCTGCCCAAGTTCACATTCCAGCTGCTCAAGTCTCCTTGAAAAGGAGCATTTCCTCAGACAGTAGGTATTTGATGGACTCCAACCTTCACAGTATATCCTACAATGTCAGTTGAAAACACACCTGCATTTAATGAACAATAAATGTAGACTGTATCAACTGCAAGGTTAAAGGAGAGTTGCATGGCCTAGTGGTCTACACATCACTGGGACCTGCCACCAAGCAGCTCTAGCAAGTTTTGGCGCTGACACCTACCATGCATTTGGCACACCACCTAAAGAGCACTCAAAAGAGCTCCTGGGACTCTAAAAGAGGTATATTAGCACTGTCTCTCAAGTGAGTTAACAGAGTTCTAAGAACTTTTTTTGATCATTGCAATTTAGTGAGCAGGCACCAGTCTTGCACGTGAGCCAGTCAGAATGGAAATCTTACCAGGGCAAGGCCTCTCTGCAGTAATAGATGTGTCTTAAATAAACACATTGTGACACAAACTATTCCTCCTATTGCACCAATAAGCAACTATGTTCATCGGATAACAAATAGTCTGATACCCACAGACCTGGGCTATGTGCTGAATAGTCCTATGACTTAAAAAAAAGCAGAGAGGCAAAAAAACCTGTTAAGGCACAAATCTTTAGGGAGGAAAAGCATTTTAATTGCTTCCATTCTTCCAGGGAAAAAAATGTGTTAAATAAGAGCCAGGCAGCTATAAGAGGAAATGGCTCTTGCTTGGACAGGGCAAATGGAGTTGTGCAACATTAAATTAAACATTCTCAATCTATGATGCAACATACAGAGCCCAGCTGAGCAGTGGGTTTCCTACACATCTCTGTAGCATCCTCTTGGAGGAAATCTTTACCTGTTCTACTGTGTCCAGTACTCTGAGGAGTTGGAGAGCAAGAAGGATTGCCTTTTCAAAGACTTCTTCCACTAACATTTAATTTCTAAATTGAGTACAATTTCTCTCACAAATTATAATTTACCTAGTTTTACTAGATTTTCTCAAATTAAAGTTAATATTATGATTTCACATTATTCATTCAACTTTTTTTGGTAATAATCATAACAAGTGCTTTCTTCTAGATGTCAGGTGAAAAATGTTTCAGAGACACAAGACCTTAAATAACAGTATTAAACATCTCAACTGCATTTAGGGGAACAGACTAGAAAACTGAAACCGTATGGTACAGATGACAGGAAATACTGTTGTCCACAAACACAGCAGAAGCAACTATCTCAGACATCTCTTAATACTATGATAGTTTTTTTGAATTCACACAAAGCCAAGCATGGTTTCCCCAACCGGATTCATAAAGCCACATCAATTTTGGTCTGATTAAAGGCTCATTCAAAACCACAAGAAGCAAAACAATGTTAAGTTTACTATGACTGCCACATTCCTGTGAGTGCTAGTACAGAAGATGAATGAAGTCCACATGGTTCCTTGCACATGGAATACAGCTCTGATTTATATTAGGAATGTGCATCCCTTTAAACATCTGCTGCTTGATTAGCGCAGAATGGATCATTATGTTCCGATCCAATACCTGTCTTGAAGGTAACATGTAGGTATTTCATCTGTTAAAGTCTACAAAAATATCACAAAATTAAAGAAAGTGTCTGGTTCGTGATGTTACCAGATTTCAAAGCACAATCATTTTTGGTTTTAATATACCTTAAAACTCCCTTTTTTTTTTTTTTTTTTAAGTCAGCTCTCACAGGAAGATAAACTAGCCACAGCAGTTCATTGCTGCCCTGCTCATTAAAGGAGAAAACAGTGCAAGGGCACCAGGACAAAGAAAAAGGTTTATTGTACATATGCATCACTTGAGAAGGCCATGTATTAAGCAAAAAAACAGTGAATCCAGTCCTAGCAACTACGTGCTTCGAAGCTGCACTAGTCTGAGTTAGAGCTCAGTACCCCACACACAGTAACTTGTAGATATCTAACATGAAACATGCTTTTCAGAAGATGTTCTCTGACAGATAATTCACAACTTATCCACAGCTCTCCTCTGCTTTCCAATCAGGGAGAGATGCCCTGCTGAGGAGCACCAGGCAAGGGGACATGGTGACAGACAGGAGAGCTGGGCTTCTGTGCTGTGTGACATCGGCAAACCGAAGGAATGGCTTGGCAGGAACTTCAGGAAGCTTAGGAAAGACAAATCGAGTCCCACAGGGGTCAGAATAACCTTGCAACAGTGCACGCCAGGGTAAGGAAGGCCAACCACACCTTGGTCTGTATTAGCAAGACTATGGCCAGCAAGACATGAAAGTGGTAATTCCCCTCTATTTGGTCCTTGCAAGGCCACACCTGAAGTATTCACAGTACCAGAGAGACATCAACAGACTGGAGATAGGCTAGAGCAAGGCTACTAAGATGGTTGGGAGCTGGAGTGCACAACATAAACAAGAAGAGACTGAGAGAACTGGGATTGATTAGCCTAGAAAAGTCTGTGGGATAACCCAGCTGCTGTCTTCCACTGCCTAGAAGGGGAAGTGGAAAAGGTGGCACCAAACACTGCTCAGAGGTGAAAGGATGAAGGACAACAGTCACAAATGGTAACAAAGAGAATTTGGACTGGAAAGAAAGAGAAATCTATTTACAGTGACATCAAGAAAAAATTCTTCACAGTGGAGGCTAAGCAGTGGAGCAGGCTGCACAGAGAGGCAGTGAAACCATCCTGCTACGTTATTTGGAAAACTCAACCAGATGTGCCCCTAAGCAACCTGACCTAATATTGAAAGTAGCCCTGCTTTAAGCAGAGATTGGACCAGCTGACTCCAGAGTCCCTTCAAACCTGAATTTTATGATTGTGTCTCACAGTGCTTAGAACATTACTCAAGATTCACAACTTTCTTTTCTTGTATTTTAGCATTTACTTGCATTACAAATTTTAATTCTAAGGGGAAATGACACACTTTATTAAGTTTATTACTACAGCAACAATGTTTTAACTACCTACAAGCTTTTAGGGAGACAGGAGATTCAACAAGGTATAGAAAAAAGACCCACCACCACCTCTAGAGCAACTGTTTGCAAAGCAAACCCAAGGTACAGTGACAAGTCCTTTGTAGCTTTGAAGCAGATGTAGATCTATAAAACAAACTCACTATTACAGGCACCTGGTTTGCATGAGTACAGAAGTGCTACTTAGAGACTGGGGTCTAGCACTACTTGTATAAATTGCAGATGTGATACACAGAACTACGATAGTTTCTTTAAAGCTGGAGATCAAACCATTTTGGCTTGTCTTTAATCATGCTTGACAGTTTATAAGAATTATACTGATTTGGTATTCCCCCTGCACTGCCTGTATTGAATGAAGTGCTTGGAAAGAGGCTGTTAAAAAGCAGTACAAAACAATGAAGTTCTGTGTTTGTTCACAGATCTGAAATTTTGCATTCTCTTCCCATTGCGTTGCCAAAATGCCCAAATTACAGTCTGCAGGCAGCTGGTTTATAGTTCCCATGAGCTGGAAGAGCCCATTATAATTTTGCTTTACTGAACCCAAGATTTCTTCTCTTTTGAAGAAAGCTTCTTACCAGTCCTGCACATTTTATATTGATATTTAACAAACCAGGGCAAGGAAAAGAAGCATTACCACCTAACATCTGGCAGCACATTGACAAATCCTGAGAAAATATGAGCACTGTAACTAACACACAATACATTTTCAAGTATGAATTGCATGGTCTCTCATGGAATAGGCTGATGATCATATAAAGATGCTCTCCACAGAGAAAAATTTTTCAGTATCTACAAAAGCTCTCATTTTTTCTAACAGATACTAACAGAGCAAGAGTATTTTCTTCTGTTCTGAAAGCATTTTTTTTGAATGACATAGAGGAAGAGTACAGCTGAAAATTGAAAGAATAAATTCCTGTTTTCACTGAGGCTGACAAGCCAGAGAGAGAATTTGGGTATGACAAAAAGCCCCACGCTGCAATTTGTGGCCACTGCTCTTTGCTATATCAACTGATATGACCAAGAAGAGGTTTGTTCTATTATCTTTGTTTGCCCTTCAAAACATTTGTAAGCACTACTAGAGTGACTTTTTACCAGACTAAACAAGCCCAGCTTGTCAGTGTCTCTTTAGAGGACATGTGCTTTAGAGTCCCTGATTACCTCGGTAGCCCTCCAGTTTTCAGTATATAAAGATGCATTGTCCAAAGTAAAATGAAGTCCCCTTTGTATCTGCTGTAATAATATAACACTGAAATAGTTAAAGACAATGCAGATATTCATCACTTGTGTGGAAAATCTGTGCTCTGAAGAGCTGCCCAATTTTCAGTAATTGCAACAACTTTTTTTTGATGTTAAAAGAATGTATGCATAGGCCATACATTTCCTTCTAAGACCAGAAGAAACATGTTTTTCTTATGAAGCTTAATCAAAACAGTGCGTTTTTGTTGTGTATTTCTGATGGTTGTATAGCTAAAGGAAATTAATTCCTCTTTAACCAGCAACTGGGACTTAGGGAAGACCAGGAACAGTGCTACAAACAACTGCTTTGGGGCAGTCCACACTGGAGTCCTGAAAAGCTCAGGGTGACCACACAAGGCCTCTGAGGTTAATCTCGCTATTGGATAGCTCTGTAAACACTGTCTCAAGTTCAGTTCTTTGCATTTTTACACCACTCAAGGCTTCAAGCCAAGGCCGTGATAAAAAGAATGATTTGGTTCTTGAAAAGCATTGGCAGAAAGCTGACCAAACAGTCTGTTTCCAATAGTACCCAATAAAGTCCTAAAGAATCAAGACTTCCTGCATGCAGACATTATTACTTCCTACATTTGCACTGAAGGATCAATCCCTTTTACTCTCCATTTAATCTCTCTTTACTGACAGCACTGAATGCTCCTGCACAGGGCACGTGTTCAACAATACATGGCCTGCCTACCACCACTTAACATCCTGCTGTGAGCCCGTGTTCTGTAGCAGCTTCTTACCTACAATGTCTTCATAGGCATTCTCTTCTAAAGTGCTCTTGGATCCAAATTTATGCTGGCTCTCAGTCCCATTTTCAGTCGGGGAGGGAGGGTACAGGGATTGCAGACTTGAGGCATCCTCGAACTCAAAGGATTTTCTGAATTTTAAAACAATAAGTAATTAGTAACTAGAACGCAAAATTATTCAAACATTTAGATAAGTGTTTGCTAAGAAATATATATAAAATGAACTACAACAACAACAACAAAAAAAAATCATATATCATGTTTTAAGAACTAACTTTTAGAGGATCCTAAGTCCTGTGCTCACAGCAGTCTCTAGTATAGCCACCTGTGATACTTTTATGAGATTGGAAGTATTGTTACCCCCATTATGCAGACAGTGAGAAAACACCAAGAAAGTATGTGATATTTTTGAAAGTTTATGAAGTTAGCAGCACAGTCCTGAGATTAGAAATTGCTTTGCTCTTGCCAAGGTCCCCAGAAGCATGTGGCCCTCTCTCCTCAAGAAAGACGTATCTCTGGAAAGTGTTCCTCCACTGGTTGTTCTGGGAAATGCAACCCCCTAGTTTCACACCACTCACATCTTGAACCTTCAGATGTGTTCCTGCACAGAGGTCAGTGTGCAGATGCCAGAGGCAGACTCGTGTGGAAGTCACCCATTTCTCTTGCACACCCTGTGTCAAGCACTATCAGCAAAGGGCAAAGCATTGAGGAAATTAGTTCTCTCTAGGGTGGATGAGCAGTCTGGGCTGATAGCTCAAGGCCTGAAGGTTTGGCCTTTCTGGCAGGAAGGTGAGGGCTGGCTGGGTCAGATGAACCATACGATTTGTCTCTCCCCTGGGTACTTGAAGGAGGGGCAATTCACCACCTCCCACCTACTGCCCCAATGCCGCAGAACAGTTCTAGAGGAAGAAGAGCATGAGTCCTTCCCACTTTCCAGTTTACACAGCATTTGTTCCCTCAGGCAATGTCTATACTAAAGCTGGGAGATCCTTGAATCACAGTGCCAGCTATACAGGGGCTGGCATTCATCGAACTGATTTACTGCTGAGGATGAAACAGTAATAAAAACAGGTTCAGTTCAGACCATAAATCCCGTGGTGCTGTAAGGCTTGCAGAGACTGTGCTGATGCCCATACTTCACTCACTGAGACCTAAACTAGATTAACAGTAAATCATCCTGCCATCAACCCCTGTTCTTCCCAGATGGAGTTACAGCATACCCATATGGCAGTGAGAGTCTCATGGGACATACTTTGGTCTATAGGTAACACAGTGACTAATATGCAGACAAGGCATTTGACAAGAGCACTTCCTATTTGTCTGCTGGAGCAGACTCACAGGTCTGGATTAGGCTTAGAAGTCTCCTCTCTCTCCTTTCCCTAATCTTCAGAATATCCAGGTCCAAGTTATGCACATCAGGATCACAGCAGAAACAATCTGTGCATTCCAGATCCAGACACCTACTCTTCCACACCTAGTCACAGCTATAAAGGAAGCTTACACACTGAAGACATACCTGTGTATCAAAGGAGACTTTCTAAATTAGTTAAATATCCAACTCCTATAGATTCCAAGGCAACACTATGATGTGGTGACACTGTATAGGATCACAGGAATGGTTTTGTGGACTGACACTAAGCTGTGGTCCATGTGTCCCAAACCTATCCTGTGACACTCCTCTCCTGCACTGTGTGTGGGCCAGAGGATCTGGAACTGCTAGGGAACATCCAGTTCACATCAGCTTGAAATGTTAAAGCTACTGTAGGCACCAGATCCTCTGAATACAGACTGTACCCATGCCAGGAGGCAAACATAAGAGACCTTCCTCAATTTTACTAGAATGACAAATAAAATCAATGGTTTCAATCAAGATATTAGAAGAATAAATACCCACAGTCCACTCTCATGACATTCCAGTGAGTGCAAAGCACGTGTGTGTTCAATCTGAAACACAGAGCTACAAGCTGTAGACACAATGAATTATGTCTGTTCTCAAAAAGAGAACAGTTTAGATATCGAGATTTCAGTAATTACTGTTAACTAAATACTGTCATTCTTAGATGAATTGTATGGTCTTAAGTTCTTTGTAAATCCTGGAGTTCTCCTTTCTGTAACTAAATGAAGGACAGTAGCAAAGACAATATAGTTAAGATTTTATAAAGGATTTCTACCCAGCCTTGAACACAGTCAGCAGACCTGAGATTTTTGGGATTGATTTAAACTTATTTAGATCATGATTAATCAGAGTTGAGTCCAGAGAAATCACTAAACTACTGTAGAGTAAAGCTGTTACAAATGAATGTACATCTACCCTGTAAAATGTCAAACTGATTTGCAAGAATCATCAGGTTCACATGATAACATTGTAAATCCTACAACTTGTACTCTACTAATCACAATTTAAATTGATAAACAATGTTTTTCTTTTGGGTTTGTATCTCCTAACCCTACCCAGGCCTGAAGCTCCTTTTCTGAACTGTGCTGTTGTCTAAGTCTGCTACAACAGAAGGCTGAACCTGCAGAACAGCAGGTACCTCTTCTTGAAAGAAGCTTCAAAACTTCATCTCAAAGATCATTGTGATAAAATACTGTGGTTCTTAGATGATTGTCCCTTAATTTACCAATAAAGGTTATCAGTTATACCAGAACATTTAAAAACTATTGTTTATCTTCTGTACATTGCAAATGCTGTGCTGAACAAAATGAGGTAAGCTTTGCTTCGCAAATTCTCGTTAAAAACTAGATTTACTTCCTCTGAAATCATTGCCAGAACTCAAAGATAAGCACTGCTAATCAGAGCTTGACTTTCCACATCCCCCTCTCCCCGCCTTTCTCAGAGAAACAAGTCGCCTCTGCAGAGCTGTTCAATCCATTTCAAAAGCAGGAGTGTCTGAAAAGGAAAGGGCAGAATTCAAAGGTTCCCCTTTTCCTCCCTCAGCATACTTCAGGTCAGGTTGTGCTGATATAAACCTTTAATTAATTGAGCCAACATCAAGCACCAGATACTGAACTGATAGAGTGCATCTGAGAAGCTGTTTAGCAGTTACTTGCAAATCTAAATATCAAGGGGGAGTGTGCATCACACACATGCATCAATATGTGAACTTGTTAAAAATTATGTACTTTGAATGCTTAGCAATGTCTGTGCCTACAATTTTCTAAGGAGTGAGCAGCATGAGTTTTATCATGTCTAAAACTCAAGACGAATCATGTAATTAAAACAAGCCAAGCTCCACAGATGGCTGGAGAAATAGCCATACACTCTGCCCATCATTAACTCAAGAAGGGCATAAGGGTCTTTTGGTGCTATAACAGTTTTCTCACCATTAATCCTCTACAGTTGTTGATAGTAACTTAGGATAACATCCCTAAGCACTGAAATAAATAAAGTCATCAGCATTGCATAAAACTGACACAACCACTGTAGTAATGAGCTTTGGAAATAGAAAACCTCTGCAGGTGTGTTTTGCAGTGAACAGGAAGAAAAGACTATGATGGATCAGCTAAGGTCCCACTACGAGAAAATAATGAAAGCATGGTCCATTAAAAAATTACAATTAAGGGCATTTGTGCCAAAATGAACTAGATAACCTTTAGCACACGTGACATAGGGCCTTTTTTAGAGATCAAGGAATGCAAGTTGTAGAACTCCAAAACTGTAGGCATGTAAAGGTATTGTACCAGTGTATCCCATCAGTGCAATTCAGCAGAAAAAAACACTAGTCTTGCACACAGCTCCTAGTTTCTCTTATGTCAAAAGCACTGCATTAGGAGGAGAATTTACAATACTGTTACTGCACAAACACAGCACACTTATTTATTAATTGATTTGGAGAACTGAGCACAAGACATTTCCTTGACTGTTACCTATTCTGGGATTTTCTGTGAAAGCGCGACTCTTTCTTCTGCCTTCTGGTCACGGGGGGTGCAGGAGTGGACGGGAGGGGAGGAGGAGCAGAAGGTGTAGGAGATGGAGGTAGGCCATTGCTTGGTTTGTTTTTGTGGGTTTTGTCTGCTTCATATTCAAAGGTGCGTTTGGGCTTGGGGACAGGATTCACGGCGGCGCTGTTGGCCGGGCTTTCGAGGAGCAGTTTAGGGCCGGCTGAGTTCGCAGTAACTCCCTGTTTTGTTTTACTGCTTTTCTCAGCCTCAGGGGGTGTTTCTGGTTCACTCCCCAAAATAACACTCCCTCCTTTGCTATCACTTAGGGTTTCACTCAGTCCCTCCACAGTCTTTTTCTTCCCTTTGTCAACACTGTAGCAGCTACTTGGTAACTGGGGGAGGCCTCTGCCCGACTGCTCCTTCAGAGCCTGCTCAATCTTCTGTATTCTGTTGAGTACAGCAGAGGACTCTTTCCTCCCGTGGCCCTTAAGGAAAGTGGCAGCAGGAGGTTCACTCCTGCTTGGTCTCTTTTCAAACCTATGGCAGGAATCCCTGTCCAGCAGTTCCTCCTCCTCTGTTTCTGGGTAAGAACACTCGGAAAATGTTCGGCTCATTCTTCTGAGCCCTTTGAAATCAAATGTCTTGTCGCTGCAGGGAGAGGTCAGCACACTGGGGCAGCTTTCACTGCCTGACCTCTCCCCAGTATCCCTCTTGTCCACACACACACTCATCCTGGGGGATAGCTCCCGGCGGCATTCCCATTCTGTGATCTTCTGCCTGATGTCCAGAGCCTGGGAGCGGACGCTCACCCTGCTGATGGAGAAGGTCCTCAAGTTGGTGGCAGTGCCCAAGGACAGAGTGCTCCGGGCAAGTGGATGGCTCCCTATTGCTTCCCCGTCTTGAGCCTCATTTGGACTCTCCTTTTGGTCAGCCTTGGACACGGACAGCCTTTTATCCAAAGCACCCACGCTGATGGCTTTGAGGGGGTGGCTCGAGGAGTCTGTGTCCGATGGGCTTGTGGAGGTGCCTTGTGGCGTAGATGTGCAGCTGTTCCAGTCCTTGAGGCACTGCCTGGAGCTGGAGACTTTGGTGAGCTGAGTAGAGCGGGAAGAGTCCTCACTATCACTGAGGGGGTAGGCAGGGCTTCTTCGGGGGGATAAAAGAGGTGGCGGAGTGGCTGACTGACACCTAGAAGCAGAAAGAAATAAAAAATCAAGTCCCTGGGGGAACTACAGTTGGTTGCCAGATTTCTCCTGGCTGCAGGTCTTCACACTGCAAGACTATCCCAAAGGGCCACTAAGACATCAATGACCATTCAGCCACAGAGTCGAGGGCTGAGATTCTCAGGTTCTCACAGTAAACTACTGCCCTGAAGGCATCTACCACCTCCAGCTGAGTAGCTCCTTGACCTCCCAGATTAAGGAGTCCCTCTTGCCCCACTGAAACAAAATTGGGAAAGACTGACCAACCAGGAGCATAGTTTACTCACTGGTTGAGGTGAGCAAACCAATTTGAAAATATGTCAGTTTTTAATTCATAATATCTGAAGCAAAGTTGCATCATGGTGTCAGACACTGCAGTACTTTATCCTCAGCATTTCAAATCCCTGATATATATAATAAACTAAATAAACCAGCAAAAGACCTGGTTTGTCTTTGATCTGACGCTGTGGCCAACAAATCAAATTCTCCTTATCAAACAGAAGTAATTTCTTATCAAATGAATATTACAGAAACTGAGAAAACATATTAATCTGCTCACACTATCTGTTGAAAAATACGAACTATATAGAAAGATCTCAGTGTTACCCTGGAAAAAACCCTTGGAACAAATTCTTGCCGTGGTTTGCAAAATCAGCTATTGTTGCTGGGGTTTAGTACATTGTTGCAAAGATTTTTAAGAACAAAAAGACAAAAGGAAATTAAACAAAACATTAATCAGTTGGCTCGTAACAGATGAGCCCGCAGTAAGAAAATTAAGCCAAAACTGTGTCAAAAAAGGGGGTTTGCTGCATTGCCAAAATCCATACGTACAAAACATAGCAGAAATAATCAGAACTCCTTTAACATTTTGCCCTAGCAACCTTTCTGTTCCAAACAGCACAGAAAGAAAAAGAAAGACCATAAATAATGTCTTGCATATGCAATTAAGTTTATGTTCCGTGAAGACTGTGGACAACAAGCTGGTTTTTTATAAACTGTCTTGTACACCCAAGATCCAAATCAAAGAGCTGTTTGACCAAAAGAAATCATAGGAACAAATGCCTCCACTATAGCAAAGGGACAAGAGATTCAGAAGATCCTTGCTGCTATATTGTTTTCTTCCCAACAGCCAGCCAATACCTACAGGCAGAGGTGCCAAGTTCTGTGCATTAATCCAAAAACCCAGAGCACTGGGGTGATTTCTGAAAAATTTACTTTGACACAGGAGATATTTTCTTCTCTTTCAAACACAACCCCAAACCAAATTATTAGAGTTCATCCCAGATTCTCACAGTGGATACTTCACAAACAAAGCTCAGAAGCATCGCAAAAGAAAAAAGTTCGGGGCAAGTCTATTTGAAAGAGAAGCTACACCACTTGGTGACTTCTGCTTCTTCATTGTTTTGAAAAAAAACATGCTCATAGGAGAAGAGAGATCTCAAGTCACAGACAATGGCAAATACTCCTACAACAACTGCTTAAAGCTTCCTCATTTCAGGAAAGAAAGGAAGCATGTCAGAATATGCTCTTTTCATCCTGGAAGTTAAATTTCCTGCTACCCTATACAGCTGCAGGCAGGTGTCTTAAGAGATCTCAGAAGATCAAAAGCAGGTGACAGATGATGAGTGGTTTTGGCTGGCTGTTGCAGCACAGAGTTTGTAGTGGATTACCTGGAATTACCTTGGCCGACATACCTTTATAGTGCCTGAAGGTGAAACCTAAATTGGCCTTTGCCAACTTGGTGGGGCACCCTGAATCTTCATTATTTCTGTCTGTCTCATCTCAGTCTCTTCATTTTAACACCACAAAACCAAACTTTTATATTATTCTTAACACTCCTTTAGCTTAGATCATGTTCTCCCATTCTTTTATGTCACGCAGGCCTGCCCCAGAGCTGCACTCACAGTTCTCTCAAGGAAACAGGCATCACCCAGTGGAAGTGGATTTTACATCTAAAGGCTACAGCCTCCACTGCAGCCTTAGAAGCCATATGTTGTCTAAATCTGCTGCCAGGATTCAGCTAGGGGATAGGGACAGAAGAGGCCATGCAAAATACTTTAGTAACTTATTTATTAGAGTCTAATTTGTATTGACAAAAGCAAGAATAAAATACAAAATTACAGGAGTAAAGTCAGTAAAATGGCATAGCAGACACGCTGACAAACAGAATCATAGAATCCTCTCTCTGACTCATTGTATAGAAAACACCATAGGCATAGTCTTTTATCTCATTACAATCTAAGAAATATCTTCTCAGTTGTTTCCACTGTCAGGAAAAGGTTTGGTGACTCATCAGGAGAGGAGGAAAAGGGGAAAATCGTGATTTGCATAACCTGCAGAAGTTGCAAAACATTTCTTCTTAAGAGATATGAGCCATGCTTTTAAACCCCAAGTCCCCAGTAAGGTAACTGCAACTAAGGCTTGATGTGAAACCCCCAAATGCAGTTACAAAACTCCCACTCAGTTCCACTGGGCAAGGCTGGGGCTGCAGAGCCACAGGCCATCTGGGGGTGTATGCTGTCAAGTACTTGAGATACCACAGTTAAGAAAGAGATTCTGTTTTACATGGCATAACACTGTAAATTCAAGTAATCCAGAAAGAACCTATAGGACTAATTCAACAACAAAGAGGAACAAAGCTTTTTCCCAGTGGTTTCAGCATGCATTCTCTAAAGGACACTGTCAAGTAACAGAATTAAAGAAAAAAAGAAGTCCAAAAGCTAATCAGTGGATAATAAAATGGTTCTTCCCCAAGAGACTTACTTCCATTAGAAGAATACTCTCTTGAAGGGACGATAGTTTCACAGACTTTAAAAACAATATTACCGGAGTGGAGATGAATAATTAATTAACTTGAAAACTTTCATACAAAGATTAAAGCAAAATGTTTTTATTGACGTTTTCTACATACACAATGATACAGTGCAGCACTTACAAAGCAGATCATTACATAAACTTTCCAAATATTGTGTATAAACAGCACAAATAAAGATTATGGAATCAATTTTGGCTTTCTTAACAAGTTCACTGGACAACACCTTCATTCGTGGCAATGATATTTTTTTGAGAACATCAGCATTTCACAAAAGACACTTATAAGTTGCTCTGATTCCCTGCCTAAGGGCACTCTTCCAACATGCAGCCTTAGGTGCACAGCTCTCAAACCACTGGCAGGTCAGCTTTGCATTGCAGTCTCAAAGACAATCACCTGCCAAGCAGCCCACAGCGTCCTCTAAACAGGTCACAGACCCTGAAACTACCTTCCTGCTGGGACTTGTTGCTGCACAGTGAGGAGAGCAGACAGAATCCAAGATGTGATTTCCAGCTCTCTAGACCACACTCAGCTTTGCTGAGAAATCAGCACAATTACAGTAAGAGAAAACTGATAATATCAGTCATGCTCTGTAGGATTTTGAACTGTAGACACAACTGATCTTTGTGTTCTGATTCAGTCTCTTCTCTCCAGGTTCCCTTTTTCCCCACCCAAACACAGAAAAAAACTTTTAATTTACAAAACCTATAATTCTCCAGGCCTGCTCTCAAATAAAGATATGATTTTCATGGACCAACGTATGTATTCATATTGTTTTCTCTAATAAAGGCTACTATCAAGAGGCATCTCTTTTTACCAGTTCCCATAAACATATGTTGATAACAGTGGAGCTGTATCCCAGCTGAACCAAGAGAGCAGAAGCACTTGCTTTGAGATAATTTGCAACCTACTCATCACAAAACAAAAGGTGAAAAAAATTATTTCCTGCCCTCTTTGTGAGGACCCTGGCAAGGTTGACTTGTACTAAGAATCCATGGAGGCAGAGAAGGGTTGGTTCTTGGTGCCATAAATGCCTGAGTCCTCACTCTATATCTGACCCAAAAGTCAGAAAGTCTCCAATTTTGGACAAGACACCCATCTTCCCATTGCAAAATGTGGGTGTTAGAAGAAGGAGAATTTAATTCCTGGGAGCCACTCTGAAAATGGGCAATACAAAATCATTAGCAAGAACAGGGGGCCTGGCCTTTTGGTCCAGTTGAGCAGAAGCACAGCTCCTTCCTGCTTCCATTGCCAAACATCAGCTCCAGAAAAGAGAAGAAGTGAGTGCAGACAATTCTCACAACTAGATGACACGTTTCAAAATCAGGAGACAGCCAGAATGATGGGTAAAGAACTGATTTTATACATCTTTTAGAAATCAGAGTACAGGTGGATAATAAGAATATGCATTTACTGAGGAGTTTTGCATTCTTTATCAACATACTTTTTATACACTAATAACCATCTTAAGCTGCATTTCAGACCAGGCTTAAAGGTGACTGGTGGGTTGTTAAATGACTTGCCTTGAAAGAGTTACAGGACTCCTAACTCCCACTGCCCTGCTCTGACCTCTGAGCTAAGCAGCTGAGACTCTGTAGTGCTGTTTTATCTTTCCTGAAGTGTCAGGAGTGACCCTTACAGATCCTGTGGAAAGACAAGTTGGAAGAAACTGCTCAGCAATCTTTCAGTTTTGCAAATCCCTTCAGCTCTGCTTAAACCAACACGTACAGAATAACAACACAGTTTTTGGCGTTCTAATCCAGGGAATTTCCCACTTCAACATGCTCATGCGTGGGAGCCCATTTCCTGAAAAAAGAGCAAGGAACGCGCTGACAAAAAGGTAGTGGGTCTTTCCAGGCTCCTGTTGATGAGATCCCATCACTTCACAGTGACACTGAAGTGTGGTGAGCTCACACAAAGACACACAGCACTTGTTTTATTCCTCGGGACTTTCTCCCTGCTTTGCTAGGAAAAATAATGCTTTCTTAGTATTTTATTTAGGGTTTTGTTATCCCTGGTTCTTCTCAGGGCATTGTGCCACTTCATCAGGACAACCTAACCTGTTTCAGGGTAATGATAACGTCAGAATGAGCTGCGACCACAGGCATGTTAGTTTGGGTATTAGTAGATTTGGCCTGCCACACAAGACTAGAGACCTCTTGTTGCTCTAACCA